CCTTCTTGAGGCGTTTTTCTGAAACTAATGTTCTTGAGGGGTTTCGAAATTTTAAAAGGGTTATCTTCAACTGGCTCTATTTCCCTAACTGCTAGAGCTAGTGCACTGAGATTTGCACAGAATAATATACGAGGGACGTTCAAAAAGTTCCAGGAATGGTAGTTCAGCTTGTTAATGGCCTCTACCTATGGAAACGGTAACCTAATGACCTTCTAAGAAAGACCCTTGCGCATCCTTACAGTAGCTCCATCGTTCCTGCCATGGTTGGATTCAGTGTTAGAAACCGTCTTTCGGCGCCTGTCAGGCCTGAGCCGTCGCTTTCGATTTCATGTTCTCCACGGTTGCAAAACGAACTCAGAGGCCCATTTTCAGAGCAGGAACAGCCAATAGTCCCGTGAAGCGAGATCCGGAGTGTACGGTAGTTAAGGAAAGATAGGCATGCTCTCGGTAATGAGTTTCTGCGCAACAAGCGCTGTGTGGCTGGGCGCGATCGTGATGCAGACACCATTCTCCACTTGGCCATATGCGTCTTTCGAACCGCATCACCAAACCTCTGCAAAACGTGCACATAGAAATTTTCAGTAACAGTCCAAGCCACGGTGTAGCAGGGCCGACAGTGTCTGTAAAGCAGATTTTCGCAGTTTGCACATGAACTTCAGGTTCCCGCGCTGTTCGAACTGCGACTTTGCACCGACGGACTATTACTCAACTCCACGTGACACGGAGTAGTGGCACCACTGCGCACTGAGACATCTTTAGACCAATTTTACCCGCGTGCCAACAGGCGCAGTCGCCTACTAAAAGAATACGAACCCTGCATTATTGCTAGTTTGGTGACGGCAAGCCCATTCCGGGAGCTTCTTGAATGCCCTTCGTATGTACGGTACCCATTATCGCGAGTATTAGACATTCTTCCTAGTTGTAAAGGAACCTGTTTAAAATGTCAACTTCCAACATTACATTTTTGCTGAAAATGAAGTTTGTGCGAATTTCTGGAAAACAAAGCTTTTAATGGAAATATGCTTATCACTTCTGTATTCGCCATGAAATTTCGTGCTAGGATACTGGTTTTCAGAAGAATCAGTCTCATGTGGAAAATCGCAAGATCCAACAATATTGAAGATAGAGATTTGTTTCCGTAATAAAATATATTATTCAAAGATATATTTTGAAAGTTTATGTACATTTTTTCGAGAACTAAAGAGGTTTCCGCGTAATTTTATCTGCGATTTAAACCTCCCCCAATCTACGCCACTACCAGGGTCACATTTTGTCGAAAATTCGCCGAGTTTTGCTGCATTATACTTTCTATCGCTATCTATTCATTACGCGAGTACATAGTAAGGCGGGAAAGAAAAAATGGAATTCTTAGAATCCAGGACAGGTAATGGACATATCCTGGAAGTGAAGGCAAAATTGCGTGCTCTAATTATTTCATATACGAGTACTACAATACCTTGAATATTGACTCATTAAATGGAAAATGTATAATCCTAAAATAATATAAAAGTTTTTCGACTATCTGGGCGTTGTCGAACATAAGCACGAGCCGCACATTTTCCCCTATGCAAGGTCGCAGAATCACAACTGAAACTTTTGCATCTCTGACTATATAGAATGCGGGGTCTCCCAACTTCTCTAATAAAATAATATTGATTTTTTAAATCAAATCTGTTCTTCAAATAATACAAACAATTTGTTGAACTTACGTTAAACCTACTCATATGAGTAGGTTTTACGTAAATTTTCAATGTAATCACACACATTTTTAAACTAGTGGTGCTACCAAAGCACATACTTTCTCACAATGTTTCTAAACGCCTCATAATATTATATTGAACAATTGATTTGATGTAACATTTTACAAAAAGAATAAGAGAGTTGTAAACTTGTTTAAAATACGAAAATGAAATACAGACACTTCCAGTGTATTGAGAATCTTACATTATATATGTAAGTAAAATTGCTTCAAATGATTTTCAATAAAGTTTTTGAAATTCTCAATAGATTTCTGCAGCAACAGTGTTGTGACAAATAATTACCCCCGAGCCAGGATCGCTTCTCTCCAAACCCGACATTTAACCCGACATAGAGATGTGACAAATTGTATACACTTCCAGTTTATTTATCTTGATTAATTTGCGATTAGAATTCCTTCAAATGGTTTTCAATATTTTTTCTGAAATAAGTGTATCGCGGTTTCAGTTCTAGCATTACGGTGCTGAGTAATTAAGAAAATGTGAAAAATGGTGGTTTTTCGGGCGACGAAAGAAAACAGGCGAGAAGACAATGACGCCTATCGGAAATGTTGGTCAAGAGTAGAAAGAATATAAAACTACCTAGGGCGAGAAAGTCTATGCCATTCTACAGCACCACTAGGTTTTTATTTATTTCAATAGCTATTTTTTTACAACTTTGTCTGAAGCAAAAATCTCTATCTTCAAATTTGTAGTTTTGAAATGTTTTTGCAAATTTCAAAAAAAGAGCAATACCCGAAAATGGGACTAGCGCCACATTTCTTACCGTCCCTTATTACATAAGTGGAGAAAATTTAAAGAAAAAATTGGAGAGATTTTTTGAGAAAATTTTTGTTTCTAAATTTCAAGCCCCCATTACGACAAAAACTAGTTCCTTCAAAAAATTGTTCATGACCGTTTCTAAATAGGAAATTTTGTGCAACAGTCTCTGAGCCAAAAATCTTTATCTCTAATTTTGTACTTTTAAAAATTATTTTCGCAATTTTCGAAAAATCGGGGATATCACCGAATATGAAACCTACACCATTCTTAAACGTTTTATGCACATTGGAAAACAAAATTTAATCAAAAAATTTGGAACAATTTTTTTTAACTTGAAAATGTTCGAGGTGTTCATGTAAAGTACCCCCAATATTGAAATATCGGTTTCAAATTCCAGGGGTCGCGACATCAGCCAAATCGATTGGGGAACATTAAGTTTGAAGAAAATCGGCTGAACGGTTTAGCCGTTAGTGCTGACCATATACGGACGGAGAGACGGGCTTTTTGCCGTCAATCCATTTTTCGGTATCAAGAACAAATAAAACGAATTCTGGGTACACCACGAAGTAGAGGATTTGTTTTCAACATTTAGCCACTTTTTCGTTACCAGAACCCGGCAATAAGTTTTTTTCTGGCGAAATTTCGGCCTTTTCTAGCGCGAACTTTCTCTTCTAACAAAGAATTCACAAGGCGAGAAAGCAAAAAAAAAAAATCATACCAAATTTCCATATTGCATATAGATAAAAATTCATATCAATTTTTTTTTCAATTAGTTTTACAGATACATTACGTATATAACTGTTATAACGTAAGCAAAAATATTTTCGAATAATCATTAAAATTTTATTAATCATTAATTAATAAAATCAAATTGCAGCTTGAGCTAAGGTAGCCTGCGACATTTGCCGAAGTCTGTAATGACACCTTCGACCAAATAATTTTTAATTTCCCGTCCCAAAATTTGCCTCTGGACCCCCTCCAAGAACTAGAGGTTTTCACTTTACTTTACATGCGGTTAAAACCACCTTCAATCTACGCCACTGCCAGGGTCGCATTTTCCATGAAATGGAAAATGTATATTCCTAAAATGTTATAAGATTTTTTTCGACTATCTGGGGGTTGTCGAACCCAAGCACGATGCAGCACATTTCTCCCTAAAGAATACCAATGTGTGTGTATGTATACACTGAAGAGACAAAATACTGGTACAGACATGCGTATTGAAATAAAGAGATCAGGATGCAATCACTATACGCCGCACCGGTCGGCAACTACTATATACGACAACCAGAGTCTGGCATAGTTATTAGATCGGTTACTGCTGCTATAATGGCAGATTATCACGATTTAAATGGGTTTGAAAATTGTGGTATAGTCGGCGCAAGAGAGATGGGGCATAGCAGTTCCGAAATCGCGATGAAATTCGGATTTTCCCGCACGACCATTTCACGAGTGTACCGTGAATATCGGGAATCCTGTAAAACTTCAAATCTCCAGCATCGCTGCGACCGAAAAAGGATCATGCAAGAACGGGACTGACGTCTGAGGAGAATCAGTATACGTGACAGAAGTGCAACCCTTCCGCAAAGTGCTGCAGATTTCAATGCTGGGTCTTCAACACATGTCAGCGTGCGAACCATTCAACGAAACATTATCGATATGGAGTTGCGGAGCCGAAGGCCCACTCGTGTACCCTTGATCACTGCACGACACAAAGCTTTACGCTTCGCCTGGGTTCAACACAGACACTGGACTGTTGATTACTGGAAACACGTAGCCTGGCCTGACGAGCCTCGTTCCACATTGCTTTGAGCGGATGGACGTATAGGATTATGGCGACAACCTCATGAATCCATGGACCCAGCATATCAACTGTTGAAGCTGGTGGAGGCTCTGTTATGGTATGAAGCAGTTGGAGTGAAATGGGACCTCTGATAATCTAGATAGGACTCTGACAGGTGACACATACTTAAGCATACTGTGTGATTACCTGCACCCATTCATGCATCCCCAGACTTGGGCAATTCCATCACGACAATGCGACAGCCCACATGTCCAGAATTGCTATAGTGGCTCCATGAACTCTGTTCTGAATTTAATCAGTCACTGGCCACCAAAACCCCCAAACATGAATATTATTGAGAATATCTGGGATGTCTTGCAACATGCTGTTCAGAAAAGGTCTCCACTTCTTCATACTCTCACGAGAGTACGGACAGCTCTGCAGGATTCATAGTGTCAATTACCTCCAGTACCACTTCAGACATTAATCGAGTCCATGCCACTTCCGTGTTGCAGCACTTCAGTGTGCTCGCTATGGCCCTTCACGATATTAGGCAGGTGTACCAGTTTTTTGGCTCTTCAGTGTATATATACATATATATACTATACTTCTTTGAAAATAGAGTTTTTATGTAATTTTGAGTTACACTGTGTAATAAATTATGCAAAATTTCACAGGATTCATTATAGAAGAATAAATGTACAGATTACTCCAATTTAATACAACTTATATCAATCAGGTTCTCACTGATGCCATATGGCTTGAATCCCTGCCTGGATCAATATTTTTGTTTAGTTGTCTTCTAACTTTTTGTAAGAATAAACGCAATTCAATGCCAGAAAGCCATTTTCATGTAAACTTTTGAATTTTCAATAAATGAAGGATATATAAAACTTCTCACAGTTAATTTGATGATGAGTTTTTCAGGGTTGGCTGCCTTTTTAGAAGGCTATTACAATTGTGTTCAACCATTACCAAAAACATATTATGCGCTGTTGTAGTACTACGTGTTTACACTTAGAATTGAAATGTACATTTTCAATGACAATCAATCCATCTTGAAAAGTTTGTTTGACAGTTTTGATCTAATGTTCAAATATGTAATTCCATTTCTTTTTATTTATTTATTTTTTCAGGGAGGCAAGACTAAAAACATTACCACTAGCTTAGTCATCATTTATTTAATACCACACAATATTTTCATTTCATTACTTTATTTGCAGCAATCATACATACTCCTTTCCCTGAACACAAATGTCGAATAGCACTCATGTTGTCAAGTAATTAAAACAAACACAACCTTATCAGTTAATATATTTATGTCTAAAACATAAATTGGTGTGAAGCACAGGGCAAAACCAACAAGTGTAGCAGGTTTATAAAAATGCAATCTATGGAAATTGCCATAGATTATCAAATTTTTGCTCAAAGTTTCATAAGAACTATTCTCATATTTTATTTTGCTTAACAATAACAATGTTTATTAAGCTTCATACACTGCAGCAAAACGCACTAACACAGCAAATCCATACAGTTCACATTTACATTCATAGTTATTTCTTGAGTCCAATAAGATGAGAGAAATACCATGTTAAGGAAGGCAACCAACCCTTCACACATGGATTTCCTCATCTAACTAATCTTAACAATTTTAATTATATTTTTCCCTTCAAATGCAATTAATAGGTAAAAGATCATATGCACATAATAATTAAAAGCAACATAGTTCGGAATAGACTGTGAGAACAAAGGTGAAGCAAAGGAAATGGAAAATTGATCTAAGTCAAATCTACATAAGCACTTCTCATTATACACCAATAATTACTGTGCTTCTATAATTAAATTTGAGGCAGAATGAATGACACTACTTTTATCAATGTTCACCTGGACCATGATATTCACAAGTCTTAACTGAAATATTTGGTCTGCCACCAAAAGTCAAATGTACATTTACTTAAAATTTTTCTAAAAATTCAAACTAATGTAAAATAATGTCCTATACCTGTACATGAAACCAAAATACCGGATACCATGGAAAATTTCATGACATTTACCTTACAGAGCCTGTGACACTTATCTTTTGCTATCATTTCTAATGCAACTACTTGCAATATATAGATATATCCTCAGCAACTCTTTTACAAAATGTTCGATCATTACTGTACACAAATACTGCAATAAATTTCTTTCTTTTGGAGAATGCAATGCATTCAAAATTAATACTATTATTGGAGACTATATTTTAAAATTATAAGACCATACATGTTACCTACAAATGAAATAATTTTTGTAGATAGAAAAGGAATAAGCTGTAATAAAATATGACATCATAATATTCACAAGTGTACACAAGTGAATACAAGTCATTGCAAAAATCCACAGCCAATCCTCATTCATCTTCTAAAAGCATTTCATATATTAGTACCTGAAACAAAAGAAAGCCTTTCAGAAACTTGCAGAAATACACAATAAAAACTATACTATACAAATAAAATTTCTTAAAAAAATCCTTTTACATTCTGCTTAAATTAAATGTCTGCTGAATTCCCGTGTTACTTGATAAGTATACGAATTAAGTTACAGGAAGAGTAATAAATATCCCGAAGAGTCAATTGTTGACTCTTGGGATAAAATGAGAGGTACCTTTTAAAAATATTTTTTTGGGGTGGAGTATTTGGTCCCTAAGGGATAGAATTGTATTTCTGGTAAATAAATACCAAAAACTTGAAGTTCATATTTTATAAGCTAGGAAATTAGTAAGAAAGAAGTATGATTAAAGACAGACCAGAAAAACCACTTGCATATGTTTTAAAGATTTTATTTATATGTATATTTATTTTATGTTTTTAAGATTTAATATTTTATTTTTCCTATTATCAATTATCAATGTTTCTTTCCATTTCTCTTAAATCTGTATTTCAGGGAAAATACTAACACCTTTATCATATGGGACATCCTGTTCCTTTCTAATCTACTCAGATCCTTTAATAGTTCTACTGTTCTAGCCAAAAATTGCATAGTAAGATGAAGGCAATTAAATAATGTCCTTCTACTCTTGTCACTTAAAAAGCAATTGATAAATGCTGAACCTTGGACCACAGTAGTAGTTTGCAACAGAAGAGGCAATGCAAAGTGTCTCTCTTCATGTTGTCTTTGTATTTTCCAATGTTCATTGCAGAGCCAAGGATAGCATTTTGTTTACACAATTGGCCCAGTCTGTCACTCTCGTAAACTGTTGTATAGATTGTGGGTTTCTTTGAAAAGACAGAAAACATCTCATTGCATGATTTTGGCTATTACATTCACTTCATTTGATTAAAATTAATTTGGAAGGACAGAAGGTGTCAATGATAATAAAGAATGTTCTAGGAAGTGTAATAGAAAATCCTTTGGAAAAACTCTTTCACCAAAGAAGAGTAAAGACTTTGTCACAGTTTAGGAGGAACATTTGCACAATATATAAATAAGAATAGTTAAATTCTTTTCTTCACTTTTATTACTGTTTAAATGTCATTCTTCTCTGGTTAAATGCAAAGAGTAACGGAATAGTCACCGAATGTGACTGTCAAGACATACAAGCAATTTGCCCAACACTGTCTCTGACATTGGGAACACACGCACCAAAAAAAGAAAGTGGCAGCATAATTTCACAGGAACCTTCTAGACACCAGTTTCCCCAGATATTTTGATGTCATGCATTTTTAAGGGACAAGGAGCAAATGTAATATTGAAGGATATTACAAATTCCTAAATTTCATGTTCAAAATAAATAAACATTTGTTTACAATCAATTTTTGAATTTTCTCCCATTTCTAGTGCAAGGTTGCAGCATTATTCTTTTAAGAATGCCCTCAAATTTTCATTCAATAAACATGATTTGGAAATATTTAACACATTTAAGTTTAGAACAAAATTGCATAAAAAAAAAAAGAAAGTTGAGCCACACTTTGAGCAGCTGCAACACTGGCTATGTAAGTGCAAAGCAATGGATATTTTGTGTTTGAGAGCTTTCTAAATATATTGAAACCGACGTCGTTCTTGAAAATTCTTTTTAGGGTACCGACAAAAAAAAGAAACACTAAATTTATTATATTATTTTTGAATTTTATTTGCTGGACATGTTGCATTTTTCTTGTTTGCAAATTTTAATTATGCAGCATGATACATAAATACACACTGTTGCAATCAACAACTGCAATGTTCAAAAAGCAACACACATGTATCAAGTGCTCTAGAGCACACCTTGCCAACAACTGAGCTAGAGGAAATAGTCAAATCAGAATAGGAACATAATCTGAAAAATAATTCATGATAATATGGATGGTAAATCTCATGAGAACACAAACATCCATGTGACTGATAGATAGTGGTTTTAGAGCACTTCAAACTGCTGTGGTCATTGACGTCTAGGAATGGCAGGACTTGGGAAAATACAATTGTGAACGCTTCATGCTCCACTGTATACGGTGCTGCTCTGGCATTTATCCCAAACGGAAACCACTGAAAACAGCAGTCTGACTATGAATTCAATTGAGACAGTAACTGATGTTAAACACATCAAATGAATTTTGGCAGTCTGGAATCCATAACTATCAATCCCTGTCACCAGTACTCTGTACTGTAAGGTGTTGCTTGCTCATTGTAACCAGTGTTGATAAAACAGAAAAGTGTCCTGGTATACATTTTTTAAATTTAAACTCGTTTTACCACATTGACTTAACTCATTACTTACCGGTAATAATTTGGTTTAAATGGACCAGCTTTATTCAACCCCATATACTTGGCTTGTTCATCAGTTAGTTCTGTGAGATGAGCATCAAAAGTAGGAAGATGCAGGCTGGCAACATACTCATCTAGAAAAAATAAAATTAAAAGGGTTCAGATATGCACATATAATGGAATGGCCATGTATTACACAACTACAACATTCGTCAAAAGGATAACCTACATGTTCCCCACTATGAAACTACACTTTATCAAAGAATACCCTAATAGAGGGCATTACACTTTACAATAAACTACACAATGATATTAAAGACATAAACATAATTCATACATTTAAAAGTAAATTGAAAGCTTTCCTGCTTAACATGTTCTACAGTGTAAAAGAATATTCAAATCACAACAATATTTCCCTTAAAAAATATAAATAAATAAGAATTTTTTATCCCATTAGACTGTTTCATGTTAACTGTTTTGAACTGAAGCAAAGAAAAAAGAACTAGCATATCGCCTCCTGTGACATGAAAGGACAATGCCTGATAAAAAAAAAAAAATCTTTTTCTCTCTGGATTCGCTAGACGCATTAGGTGCTGTAGTAGGACTACATGTACAAATAAAAAAAATGAGAAAAAGAAAAAACTGGTCAAATCATGCCTCCTCCTCACCATTTCAAGTTTTCAATATAGAATGTACTAATATTGTTAAATTTTATGTAGTTGCTAACAAAATTGATATGTATTGTTTTAATAATAATAATAAATAATAATAATATTGTTTTAATATTATTATTATTATTAATATTATAATTAGTAGCAATAAAATGACAACATCTTGAAATGTTAAATTATCTTCTACTAAAAATAATTATTTACTGTATAATATCCTAATCTATCTGGAGCAAGTATTGTAGTATAATCCCTAGGCCAATGACCCCCATCTCGATTAGGTTTTGTTTAGTTCCCTTGAGCAAATGCTGAGATGGCCCCTTTGTTTTGCTCCTGAACAGTAATGTGACTTTGGTCTCTCCACCCAAGACCTCATATTGACTAGTCATACACAATTGTAATTGTTAATGTGATTAAATAATAATAATAATAATAATAATAATAATAATAATAATAATAATAATTGTAGTATTGCTACAAATCCCATTCCTTTTAATGTATATGTATTTAAATAACCTATTACAGCAAAACTTTTTATCATCTAATAACCACCAAAAATTTAGAACAGCATTTGATTATTTTTACATAATTTTCAAGAACATCTTGTTTTTATGATCAAAATCTTTCTAAACATTAAACTTTGTTTTAATAAAAAAGGGCTTACCCATTTTTTTGGGCAACAGATAAACATCTGATTTATAACGTCCTTGTGGGGCATTGAATAATTCTATTAGGGCAAGAGCCTGAAACAAAATAAATAACCAACTGATTAATTAATAAAAAAAAATGGGCTTAATTAATACCTGATAATTCATGCCTATAGAATAAAGCAAGATACCCACATACCTGAGTAGATGCTGTGATGGAAACAACAAACGAAGGCAAACTGGAACAACTAAGATTCACAAGCCGTCCCTCGGCCAAAAGCACAATACGCTTACCATCCGGCCATATTACATGGTCTACCTGAGATCTGACTTTCTCCCATGTTAAATCTGGAGTACGGAGACTATTCTGTAAAACAAGTGGCACAGACTTTATTAATACTTAAAACACTTAAATATTTTAGGATCTTATTGTATATTGTTGATTAACATTGATAAAAGATTATGCATACACATATATAAACAGACCCAAAAGAAGGAGAATGGAAAATTTATGGATATGAGAATGGAAGAAATATGAGAAAAGGTAGGTCCAAATTTATGATGTCAGATGCTGAACATAATTAATAATCATAAAATTTCAATATCCCTGTAAATTTTAGGAGGCTTGGCACGCATTGACCCATTAATACACATAATTATTATTAGTTCTTAAATATGACTGAATTCTTCTGAAACCTCTTTGTTACATACAATTTGTAATTAAACCAGTCCAAATTATCATTAATAATATATTGTACCCATTCCCATCGAGGATAATGGATATCATTATGCTATATAATGTACACATCAATAGACGAAGGAAACAATCATTACATATCACCAAATTTTGCTTTCATTTTTGGTGAAACTTCATAACATTTACCAAAACAGTGGTAAAATTATTTATTTCATAACCATCCAACATCTCTGTTTAAATAAATAAAAAGTTATTATTTGAGAGAATGTCAAAGAACAGCTAAAAACCATGTGAGAATATTATGGGAAGAAGTGCAATCTGTGCATGGTTTCTTGATGGGAACTCTGCTCTAATACATGTAAGTTGAATTATGAATTAGGTAGCAACAAAAACTTTTTTACAAGAATTTGTACAAAATTGTGGCTCATTGACCCAGAAACTGAGGTACAATACTGTTACAGGCTTATTTAGTCTTTTAACCACCTAAATTTCTTACTAAAATGAAGGCTACCACTAAATTGAATATCTTTGTACAATTCTTTCATTACTAATATCTCTCAAACTTCCTTTCAATGATTTATCATTTACGTAAGTTGATAGAGTCCATGCTAGAAAAACAATATAGCAGTGGAACTTTAGTACCTCAAACCTGATGGGGCACAGAATAAGGAATTAAAAGATTGAGGAAGCCGAA